ATTCTCTTTGGCAGAATTTAAAACCAGTTTTTACTCTGGTTAGGGAGACAGTACTGTCTCTGGCCAAGGAAACACAGGTTCTGTTTGTGTTTAGGGAACGTGGTCCTACCTTTAGTTGTGGACACATTGTAGGACACTAACTGAGCTACTTCACTGTGGCTAGGGACTCTGTCTTAGAACTGTAGTCTTTTGGCTCATAGCCCCGACCAGCAGTTAAACCTGGGAAAGGCAGAAGAGAGGAGGCTTATAAAAGGTCACACGGGTACTTACGGTGGATGTGAGTGATTTTAAAGAGCACACAGAGCCTGATAAAGGGAAGAGTGCAGTGAGTGGAGCTCTCAGAATATGGGGTCCTAGCGTCTTTGGAATGTTTTCCTAGCTGAGTTCTAATGGTCATAGCAAGTTGTTGTTGACCACTTTAGCTGAGCATTAACTAATTTCTGGGGAAATTCCAGTTTATGGTCTACCCCATCCCACTACTACTGCCTAAACCACTATAAAATATTGGACCAGCACACCTGTAGTTCCTGGTTCTAGTGCCGACTTGTCTCAGTGTTGGCTGTGAGACCATGGTGGAGTGCTGATGGCTGTGGCCCACTTCAGCAGATATCAAAGAGTGATGAAAGCTCCCCTCTGGTTTCTGCCATAGTCATGTAGGCAGCTGCCCAGGGAAATAAGCCCTCTTTTATCCCTATGCAGTCTTCTACAGTTAGAATCCAGATGCTGGGTTGATGCTGAGTTTCATGATGGGTTAGTGTCCAAGCTTGGAGTAGCTCTTGTGTTTTAAGGACCACTTAACAATTCCTTGAGATGAATTCTTGACTGTTCTTAAGGTGGGTATGAAGACTGCCCCTCATCCTTTCCCTTCTGTAGCCACATCCACAGACAGCAGGTATCAGAGGTGCATGGCATTGTCAGGGAGTACCACATCCAGGGCCATCTACCATCTCCCTGACCTTCACAGAATTCTCCAGAAGTTAACTGGGGATTGAGGTCTTAAGCCAACTTCTGCTAGTTCTGAACATCTCAGATTAAAAAAGAATCAAAGACTCCTTTTGAATTTGTTCTATGAAACCAAGCTGTCATGGAAGAAATCACAAAAAGAAATATGAATGAGCTATAATTATTTAATACGTGATGACAGTGTCAAGATATCAAGAAGGATGTTGGCCATTTAAGATTTGAATTGTTGAGAAGTGTCTATCAGTCATCTGCCATCCCCGAGTCCCCTCTCTGCTGTCTGCTGAGTAGTGGGACAGCAGATCTTCCCCTGTGAGTGTGTGTCACCTTGGCATCCCTGCCTGTACCAGCTGGGGATGCATGCATTAACTTAATGCTACCCTGTTGCTCTGTGAATTTAGATTAGTGGAAGATCTTCACAAAAGTGTCCCTGGCAAGGGGGACAAAAGCTTCATCAGTGGGTCCTCTATGGTGAAAACAGAGCAGAAAATGGTTGACAAATCTGTTGTAGGTGAGCTGTATCATCCTATTGTGACCCAGAGATTTCCATCTTCTTGGGTCACTCACTTTGCATAACTATAGTGAAAATTGTATAACTGTGAATCAGCTGGAAAGTTATATGCGATTGCTCAAAATGGAGTTTATTTTTTAAATAGAACTTATTAAAAAATACTTCTGAGTAGATGCATTTCATTAAAAGACTTATTCTGTGACATTGTCAAAGTTGGTACAGGGAATGGGTCTACTTTTTCCATGGGGTGAGGATTTTCTGGGTGTTCAGTCTCTGCCTGGTTATATATTGTCTTAGGAGTGGGCAAGCTCACACCGAGGTGGACCAGCTGCACGAATACTGTACAGCCTCTTTTATGCATATCTGCAATGTTTTTATAGAAGCTGTGCTTTCCACTCTGTCGTGTGCCATTTGTTTAAGTTCATTGCATTTGAAGTGTCCATGGGAATGGTTTTCATACACAGGAAGATACTTCTTGATCCTAAATGTCATAATTAAGATAAAGCAGTAAATGAACTAATAAAATATAAACAAAATCCCTTCACTTGGCAGCTGTAGAATGGAAAGCATCTACATGCTGAGAACAGGCTATGCTGTAACCTTACTATTGAATTAAAGGGTCTTTTAAATCTTTGCTCCAGTTACAAGTTCTTTAAGACAAACCCTTGTGTGTTAAAAAAGTGGGTGTGGAGTATGGACCTGCCCTTGGCCTTACACATCTACAGCCACATCCCGCTGAAACAGGTGTCAGTGGTACAAGTCACCATCAGAGACTCTTTAGTTAATACTCAGTTTTGCATTAGGCCAGACTTTACAGTTTACTTTTCTCTTTCTCTTGGAAGCCTGTTGAGAGGAACAGGATGTGTGATACTATGCAGGGGCTTTTTACACTGGAGGCCAGATCAGCCATTTGGTATGACCTGGAGCTACACACATGCATCTTTCATGGATGAGCCCATGGCCAGAGAACAATGATTAACATGTGGGGATGTCCCTTCTCCTGCTGCATTAGCTGCTTGCTTCTTTCAAATGATTGGATTTACCTTCTGGTAATGAGTCTTTTAAGAATGTAATTGAGTGAGGACGATGGTTAAAGAATTTTCTATGGCCTGGGTACACACCAGAAGGCTGAAAATTACCAACTTTCTTAGGCAGAGATATGAGTGCTTCTAAGGAAAGAGTCCCCTGGGAAGTTCACAGAGGCAGGCTTAAGGGTGGAGAAAGTCTTTCTGGATTGTTCACTGACTGTGACCTTGGGAGCCTCTGCCTCAGCAATGGACAACAGAGATGGGCGCAGCATGTTTGATAGGGGCAGTGACAGCTTTGGTGTCGAGTTCACTAACATCCCAGGTCATTTATAAGGACTTGGGATGCTTCCCCATTTGGAAAGGAGGGTGTTCATTATAATTGTTACCCCAGGGAGGAGTTCCTTTTCGCTATGACTCAAACCAATTTTGTAACCAACCTATTACATCCCTCTGCATGAGCTTTGGTGTTGAGATGTGTATTTTCTTGGAGTTAAAGTATGAATGTGCTTTGAAAAGTTCTTACTTCATACAGTGCATTATAGATGCTTCAAATGGAGGGAACTTGACTTTTGAATACAACCATCATATCAGCTGTCCTTGGTGCCCTCCTGAAATTCACCCAAGTGTATGTATGTGTGTAAGCAATGACTTTGTAAGTTCATTTATATTTGCTGTTGGCAACGTGATCTTTCTTGTGTGTGTGTGTCTGTGTCTGTGTCTTGTTATTCCCACCAAGGTTGCTCACTATCCATGGGATTATAGCAGAGGAAATAGAAATCATGTCATTACCTGTGTAAAATTGTTGCATGTTCATACCAGATTGTGGAGGTACCATAATTATAAGGTGTTTAAAAGCTAATGAGTAGCTTTCACATGACCTGTGACCTGCCCTAACACATGCCCCACATTATGGCTTGATTAGTTTGTTAATTCACAAGACTGGATGATATTTCTGATCTTTGTGTTGTATAGGTGTTTTCTTACAATAAATGAGTTGGCTCTACACTTATCTGAGGCCAAAGGTATGAAAGGTCATTTTTGTAAGAGATGAAAAATGTGGGCAAGGGAAACTGTTGTTGCTGTGCTCTTGAGCTAACGTCACACCCATGAAACTGTCACCATGGGCGGTAACTGAAGCAGAGAAAAAAAAAAAAACTCCTGAAATCAGCCTGCCAGTGTGTGGGGGCACTTATACATTGGCATCCTGCTATCCGATGATGTGATGGAAGTTCATGGCTCTTGGTTGATTCTAATTCTTGCTCACTTCTGTGAAAGCCAACAAGGCAAAGTTTTTCATCTGATGGCACCGCTTCTCTCTCAGTGAATGGTCATCTGTGTGGGATATGCCAGGCCTGTCGTGGTCTACAAGGACATTGATGTTGCCTGGAATGTCCCTTCTTCTGCCTGTCTGGTTGAGGAGTTCTTTCAGCTGCTTTGTGACAACTGCTATGAAACCCTTGCACCTTATCTTCCTCAGTCAGCTATGCAGCAGAGACTAGTAATCATGAGGGCTGCACAGGAGCATGGATTTTTCTGGACATTGGATCCCTCCCCTTCAAACTTTGATGATCTTGTAGAATGGGTACCCTGGTGTTTATATGAGGAGTACTTTAAGATTCTAGAATTTGCCTCAATACATTGGGCCTCTCTCTTCCTTCTTCCCACAGCACTTGCCTTCATCTCCTTCATATCCACAAGGCAAATGTGGGGACAGTGAGGTCTCTGTCCACATCTGCAGTGACCTATGTTTGCAGATGGGCCATCTTCTCCCACAGGGGATGTAGGCAGCCTCTAGATACCTGGTGACATTGGGCTGGACTTAGCTGGTAAGGATGTACATCTATGCTGAAGTGATTGTTTCCCATTCAGAGGAGAGAGGAAAAAGAGCTAGTCGCTCTCCTTGGGACAGCGACCTACTTGATGGATGCTCTAGAGCAGTGGTTTTCAACCTTCCTAACTCTGTGACCCTTTAATTCAGTTCCTCATACTGTGGTGACTCCTGACCATAAAATTATTTTGTTGCTATTTCCTAACTCTAATTGTGCTACTGTTATGAATCATAAAGTAAATTATTTTGGAGACAGAGGTTTGCCAAGGGTGCCTCAAACCACAAGTTGAGAACCACTACTCTAGAGAGAAGCCACCCAATGTAGGCCATGGAAGGTGGCAGCATTGGGTGAATTTTGTAGTCTTGGAGGCTCTTTAAAATTAAACTCAAAGTGGGCACATGATACCATCAGCATGTGTGTACCCCTTCATACCTTAAAATGTTAACTTAATTTCCTAGTGGCCAAATCCATGTCAGGGTGCTGGGTAAACAATGCCAGAGCCGCCTTTCTGGGTCAGGGTTAGGGATGTAGGGAACACCCAGGGAACATGACAGTCTCATCTTTCCAAACCCTATCAGAGTGCCTTCTAGACCAAATATCTGACCATTATTATTTTCTTGGATTTTCCCACAGTTTAGAGGCTGTGAAATAAGTTTGGTAGCCATACAAACATTACCTTTGATTTTTTTATTTAAAAATTAATAAATATTTAATGACAAGTATAATAATTTACTCTCTATACGTAATGCCATGTGTACATCTACATAGGAGGGGACACTGAACTTTTTACTTGGCTTTGTATGAAAGTGTTGACTTCAGTCTTTCCAGAAGGGTCATCCTCTGTCATTGGCAAATCATGATTGGTTATGAAATGCGCTGAAAATACATTTTATTTCCTGTTTTGGGGAGATGCTTTTTCTTTTGAGAAAGAGTTAGTTTATCTTCAGAGTTTCATTTCTTGTTCTAAAATGTTTAATTTTTTTTAATTTGGGGACCTAGACTTGAAACAGTGACATCACTGGTAGTCACATGTATTTGCATTTAGACAGATGGGCAGCACTGGACAGAAAGTTGCTGAACCCTTTCATTTGCTGAGAACACAGAATTCTTCAAACATATGAGGAGAAAACTGGTTGCTAACAGTTTTATAACATCAGTTAAAAACAGTATAAAAACATGAAACACATGTTTAAAGGTTTCGTATGCATGAAACAATTGCACTTCCTTCAAGGTATAGGATCAGCTTAGTCAGAGCTCTTCTCCAACACGTCTGTTTACTGTTCTTTGTGGATTTGAATTCTTATAGAGTATTTATTTAAAGGCATGTGTTTGTGTGTGTGCCTGTGTGTGCACGTGCACCCTCATTTGTGGTGTGTATGTGTGTGTGTGTGTGTGTGTGTGTGTGTGTGTGCGCGCGCGCATTTTGAATTAAGCAGATTTGAATTCTTATAGAGTACTTCCTTAAAGGCATGTGCTTGTGTACATGCCTATGTGTGCACGTGTACCCTCATGTGGTGTGTGTGTGTGTGTGTGTGTATATGATTGCATTTTGAATTAAGTATATCTATGTAGTATGGTTTGAGTAACCCCCAAATAGTAGTCACACAAAATATTTTTTTAGCTTCTTTTTCTTTTAAAGACCAGATCTGATTGCTGATCTCTATATCCTTATATAACTCAAATGTTTAGAACTAAATGGGACTGTTGAGTCCAGAGGAAAAGCATGGTGAGCTTAGCTTCAACCCATCCAAAGCAGGCCATGACCCTCTCCAAAACTGAGCTGCTGTGGGTTTGCTATCAGAGCCACCAGGCTGCCGTCAGCATGCAGTCCCAGTTGAACATGCTGGATAGACACTGAAGACTAGATTTTTCTTGTATGCTCACAGCTATCCAAAATTTCAAGTTATAAAAAGGAAAAAAAAATAAAAGTTAAAAGAAGACCCCCCTACTTCCTACATGAGAAGCAGAACACTGAGAGACATCATTAACTCACAAGAGGATTTTGTTTTCTATAAAAAAGATACTTGTAAAGGTGCCAAAAAATGAGTGAAAAATAAAGCAGTGGAGGTTTACGTTGTGATGTGTCATCAAGAGAGAACTCTTGTGTGTGACGGCAGATTTAAAAAATGCCTAAAAACATTTGATTCACAGCTTTCCTCTAAGTATGCCATTTAATACAATTTACTGATGGGTTAGATGTAGGCGATGGTAGGTTTGGCCATTGGTAGCAGCTAAGGGAAACAATCTGTTTCTCTCTGAGATGGTCATATCTTGCACTGCAGTGACAGAGCATAAAGAACTGTAGAAACCACCTGGTTGCACTCAGGGATTGAAGAGCGTCTCTAGGGATCGAGCCACAAAAACACTTTGTGCCCCAGCCCAGGCACCGGTGATTTATAAGTAGCTCTTTTACCCATTGTGTATCTTTGCCTCTTTCCAAATTCTTGCCAGATTCATCATTTGGCCTTTGGGCATCCAAAGATTAACAACAAGATCTAAGAAAGCTTAGTGTCCATTAGTTCTGACCCTGTCAGCTTGCAATGATTGAAGGCATATCCTGACTTGGGGTGGGGGTAGGAGTGGTTCCTGGCTGCTGGCCATTTGGAAAATGAGCAGTAAACATGTCGTCCATCTGGAGATGAAGAGGGTGCTAAATCTGTGGTGTCAATGTGACACTGGGATGTGGTCACTTGGCTTAGCGCTACAGCACACGAAGGCAGATATACATAGAGTCACATTTTTGAGATTATTCATGGTCTCTGACCACTTGAAAAAAAAATTGTGCTTTCTCCGGAATTTAATGTGCTGAAAACTGCACTCGCCCCCTGCTTATTTGCAAAAGGAAAGGTAAAAATGAAATCCTTTGCCAACGGAAGGCTTGCTTTCTCTTCTTGTTTAAAAAAAAAAACTAATAAAAGGCCAAAAATAATGAGAAGTTCCACTGTCTACAGAAGAACAGCCTGCCGCATGGAACGTTGATAACTCAATACTCATTCCTGGATGGGAACTGCCGGGGGTTAGAGTTTTTCCTTATCTTTGATTACGTAAGTTTTATTTCAGACTTTACACCCCACACAGTGAAGTGCAAAGGACAGCTGGCAAGGGTGACAGTCACTCCCTTGCCACTAATTATCTGTTGGTGCGAAGGCCTTTTTGGTACACAGGGCGAGAAGCAGGGAGCACGCATTGGCACCGCAGTTCCCTTGATCCTATCCATTTTGGAAAAGGACTGAATTAAATTCCAGTGGGTTTGAAAGACGGTCTGGGTACTCCCAAACCCACGAGTCTTAAAGAAACCAGAGTTTCCACCTTCCATGCTTTTTGGACTCAGTTTTGGATTTTTGCTTGGGCGTGGAGGAGTAAGTCTCCTGAGTGTAAGGCGAAGGGATGACCTGAGTTTCCTCAACAGGGTGCAGTTTCCTCAGCACAGGCTGGAGTTTGTCTTCCTGTTGCTTAAAATCCAGCTCCACACTAGAAAGACAAAACACAGAGTTTAGTGTGTGACCCTAGAGATCTGGTGACCCCCATCAGGGTTATGTTCATTGAGAGTCTATTTGTAACATGTCTGCACCGTTTAATAATAAACATACATATAATTGAGCACTCATTTTCTTTGGAAAAGAACCGACTTTCACAGTCAAACCTTTTAATTTCTAAAGTATGCAGTTTTTTCACAGTATATCATGAGGCTAGGGGGATGGTTTGGTGAGTAAACAGCTTGCCATGCAAGCATGAAGATATAAGTTCATCCCTAAACTCACACTTAAGAGCCAGGTGTGGAAGTGTATGTCTGTAATTCTAGTGCTGGGGGCAGAGTTCAGGCAGTGCCCTGAGCTCATTGGCCAGCTAGCCTAGAAATCAATGAGCTCGAGGCTTGGAGAGAAACCCTGCCTCCAAAAATAAGGTGGAGATCCACCAGAGGCTACTTTAAGACAACTGACTGTCCCTCTCCCAGCAGCTATCATTTGCCTATAGCTCCTCAGGTAGGGGAAGGATTTCATACCCATCTCTCTTGTCCATGCTGGGATTTTGTGTGGCTTAAGTTTACACAGGGTTTGAGCACGTTGTCTCAATGGCTATGAGTTCATATGTGCAGCTGCCCTGTTGTGCACTGAGGACACATTTCCTTGTATTCCTCTACTGGCTCTTAGACTTTTTCTGTCCACTCTTCCTCAGTGACCTCTGAGCCTTGGGATGAAGGCCATACATCCAAGAGTAAATGGGTGACACAAATTGATCTTGATGGGTAGGGGAAAAAAGGACACAAACTTGTGTTGGGCAGGACCTGGGAGGAGATACAGTGCAGGGTGTATATGATAAAAACACATTATTCAGAATTCTCAAATTTGAATAATAATGAAATTTAAATTGCATGGAGAGCAACAGACGAAGATGTGTGACTCCACTTCTGGCTTCCACATGCATGCACACACATGCATGTGCACCTGCCTGGCCACAAGAACATGTACATACACCTTACCCAATGAATTTAAATCAAAGTCTATCAGAAGTCGTGACACATACACACCCACACCACACAATACATCAAGCTGTGTCCTCCTGTGCAACCACCACTGGTCAGAGAAGCCTGTGGACTGAAAGCACCAAGAATCGAATGATTTTGGCCTGCCTTCTTGCAAAATTGTATTCATCTCAAACATTCTTAAGGACCATAGCTAGGAGGAGACCCTGGGCAGGATTTTTGTGTTTATCACTTCAGCACTACTAAAAGGTTCTTGTCCTTATCAAGCATGAGTTTCCCAGATGCAGCATAGATCGTGTTTGGTTAAAACAATACAAGATTATAATTATGTGGGAGCAGGAGTGTGCAAGGATGTTTGTGTTAGAAAGATAAAATTGGAGATGTGGTTCAGAATATACCTGCTCCTTGGGATAATGATTCTGTGAGGAATGCTATCAGTGTGCTAGAGTTGTTACTTAGTCTTTGGTAAGCAGTGATGGTCTGCTAGACTCCACTGTTAATGGATCCCCTGGCCCATGTGGTTTGTTGTGATGATGTGGCACTGGGGAGCCCCCCCCTTGGATCATGTGGTTTGGACTAGGGCTGTGAAGCCTTCTACCCTGTTCTCTTGTCAGATGCCAGACTAAATGTCAGTAGATTTCAGTGACTGTTCATAGCATTCTCTCTAGCCAGGGGGCCCATGCACCATCTCTAAACACAGAATCCTATCCATTTAGAGAACCATCAATCCCAGCCAAATTCTGACATTTCAGGAACACAAACCAGCAAAGCCATATTATCTGGAGTTTTAAAAATAAGTTCAAGACCTATCAAATATATAAATTTATGACTTTTAAATCCCATACACCATTTTTCTTATTGTCAAAGGCTATAATATCACTGAGGGTTCTTTTTTAATGTCAAGAGCAGTTTAAAGCTATTTTCCTCTTTCTTTCACAAGAAGCCTCATTCTCTTATCCATTTATTTTTAAGAAGCGTGGTGTGTGTGTGTGTATGTGTGTGTGTACAGAAGTTAGAGGACAACTTTGAAGAGTGTGTTCAAATCCTAGTTCTAAGAAGTAGAACTGAAACTCATTATGTCAAGTGTTGCTTCTTGAGAATGTATGACAGTGGAGACAAGGCCCCTCCTAGGGACAGCTGTGCAAAGGGCAGACCATACGATGTTCTGAACCTGGGATATTCCAGCTTGTTTGGGCTGTGGAACCTGAGAAAGTAGGAGATCCTGTCTTGGTGCAGGAGCCTGGGAAGCAGGCCTGAGTTAATTCTCTCATTGTCACTGAACTTCTATTTATGTCAGGTCAGGGAGAGGTAATTGCTGTCTTACTAAATTCTAGAAAGAACATATTCTCAAACACACAAGCCTATGAAAGGCCTCTTAGTTAGTGAATAGTTCAAGTATGACTTTGTTCTTACTATTAAATGTTGATTGCAGATTTTACAGTTGGGTTTGGTGCTGATGAAGAAAAGGGTTAGAGAATTCTCAGCCTGGACATTTAGGCAACAAGAGCATTCAGAAGTCTGTGAAATGTGATATTTAGCTAAGCTAATACTGAAATACATTCCCCCATGTCAAGGCTATTGCAATTGTCCCAGGTAGCTTTTTAGTTATTAGAACAGAGCATGTGGCTAGCATCTCCTAGGCTAACATGCAATCCTGGGCACCTGTAATTATCGAATTCCCATTAAGCAACTACACTGGGAATCCTGTCATTAACCAATTTATCACACCGCAGAACCATGTAATCACAGAGTAATCTAATCTGAGTTCTTGTTAACGAAATGACTCGACTTTATCTGTTGAGCAGACTCCTGTTTGGGCTCATCCAATATGCTGCAGCCTGGAGCACGCTTGATAGAAGAGGGCCACCAAGCCTGGCAGTGAGGTTCAGTGACACAGTGACCCTGAGCCCTGCCTGTCCTCACTGCTTGCTTTGTCTTGTCCAGGCTGCAGTGTACTTGCCTAGGGGTGGCATGTGTACATCAGCTACCCACACTCTGGATAGGCGAACCCTGGCTGTTAAGTAACAAAAACGTGTATTTTTGCCCCCTGCTGTCTACTAGCAGTTTCTTGTCAAAGTGCACACTGGGTTATTTGGGGTTGGAAGTAGATGACTGACTGCATGGGACAGAATTGCAAGGCTAAGAATCTGGTTATCTTTGGCTGACTTGGAGCAAAGGTTTCTTTGAGCTTAATGGCCAAATGGTATCTGCTAGGAGCAGAGGTTCTGGATAGTGCAGAGCTGTACAGCTGTTCTATCTCCAGTCCTTCCTCTCTGAGGATAGCCAGTTGGTCACAAAGAGTGTAGGGAGGTCTGCATTTGGTTGATGGCGCTGTCACTGTCTTTTCTTTACCTCCTTCGTGTGACCATTCCTTTACCCAAATTGGGTGCTTTCTCTGGCTCATAGCATGGAATGCCATGCTTCATTTCCCCACCCCATTCCTACCCCAGCTACACACAATTTCTGCAACCTGACCACAAATCCTCACCTTCTGTCTCTGAGTTCCTTCTCTGCATGATATGAAGTGTGGAGAATTCTGTGTTTGCTTAGGTATTGGGACCTGGCCAGGGTTTCCGGATAAAGTGGACTCTGGTATCAGATAACAGGCTATATCCTGTATTGAATGGAAAAAAAGATCCCTGGACCCCATGTTTGTAGCTATTGCCCAGAGCATGTTATTGAACCCCTCGGAAGCTTTCCTTTTCTTATCTGCACCTCTGCTCTCTTTCCAGGCATACAAAACAATGCCTCTCATTAGTAATTCCCAGTGGACAGAAGTCTGCAAATGTTGCAACACCTTGGCCATACTCTTCTGTGGCTCCTGGTGCTTCATAGTTAAAGGATACAAAGACATTTCATTTCTTTGGTTACTCTTTTCTCTTAAATGTTAGTTCATAAAATCATTTTTCTATATATTTCATATATATATGTGTGTGTGTGTGAAATGTTATACACACATGCTCCTGAACATGTATGTAGATGTACACACATATACATATACATATAGGTCTGAGATAAACCTACCATTTCTCTTGGGCCATTAGTTTTGTTTTACCATCCATCCATCCATCCATCCATCCATCCATCCATCCATCCATCCATCCATCCATCGCAGTCTCTCACTGGCCTGGAACTTGCCAACTAAGGATAAGCTGGTTGGCCTGTGAGTTCCAAGAATCTGTCTGTCTCCATCTCCCCAGTGCTGGGATTTTAAGTATTTGAAGGATGACTGTGTTTTTATGTGTGTTCTGAGGCTGGGCTTGGGTCCAGCAAGGTCAGGACTTTATCAACTGAGCCATCTCTCCTACATAGTCTATATATTTCTAAAGAAGTAAAAGTTTGCCCTACCCCAAGTCTCAGGCTGCTCTCTCAGCTCACACCAAGCTGTTTTCTTCCTGGGGACGCTACTAGGTTGCTTCCTAATGCTTCTCTAGCATTATGGGACGTTGCAGTACAGGGTGGCCCTGGGGCTTCTCTACTCGCTCCTCCTCATTTGAAGCTCCTGTCAACTGATGTCTATTCCTCAGCCCAAATGAATACCTCAGGTGCAGCCGCTCTCTGGTTCTCACTCTATATCAGGGAAGAGTTAAGGGCAGGTGACCGCCCCCCCCCCAGCACCTGCTTGTTTTCTGAAGTGGAAGCCCCCACGTTGTTGTTGTTTTTAATCTCTCCTGCCTGCCAGTGCCCTGTGGCTCAGTAAGCTTCAGATCCCTAGCCTCTGTTTTTAATTCTCTTTGAGTTAGACCACAGGTCCCTGGTGCTAACGGTGACTCTCCACGTCTTGCTCTGCCACTGTGGATAAATCATCTCGCCTTGGGGACCTGAACTCCCTAGGCTGTGAAGTGGTGATGAAGAGTCTTCCACTGAAAGGGCAAGCCCCAGAAGCCAGGGCACTGTGAGCATGAGGGAGCTCTTACCCTGTGGCAATGCTTCTGAGGATAGCACCAAGTGGCAGTGAAGGTGACTGCTGTATGGACAGCTAGATATC